CAGTGCCTCATGAAAGGCGGGTTGAGCGTGCGCCTCAGTTTGAAGGGGATTGGGTTGTTGAATAGCGGGCTATCGGGTAAAAAACCCGACTAAAACTTAAACCCAAAGTCCCATAAAGCAAGCTCAGCTCACCTCTTCGATCGCTACTGCTCTGCAAAGAATTAGGGCTTCTTTCTTCCGTTCTCTCTCCACTGCGGCGACGAGCTTCTTTCGACGATCGGAGGTCGACGAGCAGCCGGAGGTCGGAGGTCGATGAGCAATGTATTTTGCCTTTTTTTTTTCTTTCTCTGCTGTTTTTTTTTCTTTTCTCTCTTCTTTTGGTTCGTTTTCTGTCTTCCCGATTCTTTCTCCCCTTTTCTTTATCTGCTCATTTCTCTCTCCCCTTTTCTTTCTTTTATATTTTTCTACGTTTAACTTTTTCATCTTCTTTTTTTTCTTTTTTTTCTTTTCTTTATCTGCTCGTTTCTCTGCTCATTTTTTATTTTTTTTTCATCTTCGTTTTTTTGTGCTCGTTTCTGTGGTTGTTTTTTATTTTTATTTTTCATCTTATGAAGATAGGATAGTTCTGTTCATGTGAATTGATTGATAATTTTGTCATATGCATTATAACTACATGATATATTATATTATATTGTTGTCACGTTTCTCTTGAGGAATTAGACATCATTTATGGAACTAAGAAAATAATTAGTAATTTTACATTTTGGTCTTACTGTCTTATACTTAAGATTGGTTAATCAAATGATTGTTTGACTGTAGAAATGCTAACTAACTTACAAAGAGATTTACGGACTAATTGCTTGTTTCTTATTAATACATATCATGATATCAATCATAATTGTTCAAAATGTGATACTATTTGATTTCCTGTGCGAGATTGCGAGTATTGATTCTTGCTATTTGAGCTAGGTGTAGTGCTACACTGCTATTAGTTGACTTGAAAGTTGAAACTTGATTCGCCATTTATAACCTGTAAAGAAGGAAAACAAAATTTAGCAATATAGTTGTTAGTGTCATGCAATATAATATTTTAGTATGAAAGTTTGAATAATTTTTCATTCATCTTGTATATCTCAAAATACTAGTGATGTGTTATGTAAAAAAAAAATACTAGTGAATAGTGATGTAATATTGCAATATGAATTTAATGTATATATGTGTTTTGGTGTAGATATGTCTTCATCGGCGAGTGGTGGAAGAAGACAAGATCCTACATGGAAATATACTTCATTGGTTGATGAAGGGAATGCCAATAAACATAAGTGCATATTTTGTAACAAGATCACAAATGGCGGCATATCCCGACAAAAAGAGCATTTAATCGGGACGGATAGAAAACGCAAAAATGTGAGTCTTTGTCAAAAAGTCCCTCCCGATGTGGTTGAAGAGCTAAAAGATTATGAAGAAAGACAAAAGATGGCTAAAAGACAACAAGCTATAGATGAATATCTCCCCGAACTTGGAGATGAGAACATGGTGGAAAGACAACAAGCTATAGATGAATATCTCCCCGAACTTGGAGATGAGAACATGGTGGAAATTGATGATGGGGAGGATGAAGATGAACAAGTACAAGAACGTAGAGATAGAGGAAAAGGCTCGGCAGTTCCTAGGTCATCTTCAATAACGGCAAGAGGAAGAGGGAGTGTTGGCATGCACAGTGCGGGATCTTCCGTTCCTAGGTCATCTTCAATAACGGCAAGAGGAAGAGGGAGTGTTGGCATGCACAGTGCGGGATCTTCCACAGGCTCAAAGAGGAAGGGGCCGATGGATGCATTTCTTACATTCGATCCCGCTCTTGAGGTCGCCAAGGATGAAAGAAGGCGCAAGTTGAGGCAATCATATATTGAAGAAAGCCTCAACAAAGATGCAGTGGCTAAAGTGCATCAAGACATATCTCGGTGGTGGTATCAAGCCAACATTCCCTTTAATGCCGCTCGTCTTAGATCTTTTAAAATCATGTTAAAGTCTATGGGGGCTTTTGGGCCTAACTTGCCTCCTCCGACATTACACCACTTGAGAGAGCATTTGCTTAAGAAGGAGAAAAAATACACCGATGATCTGATACAGCCTCATAAGGAGGTGTGGGCTACCAAAGGTTGTTCTTTCATGTCAGATGGTTGGAGTGATAGAAAGGGGAGGACATTGATCAACTTTCTTGTGAACTCTCCTCGTGGTACGGTGTTTCTTTCCTCTATTGATGCCTCTGATGAGATCAAGACGTGTGACAGAATGTTTGAGATACTTAGTGAGCAAATTAAGCTCATAGGACCTCATAATGTTGTTCAGATCGTCACGGATAACCATTCTAGTCTCAAATATGCAGGTAAATTTTAAGCAATTAATTGTTCAGATCGTCACGGATAACCATTCTAGTCTCAAATATGCAGGTAAATTTTAAGCAATTAATTTTATTTTGGTTATGAATCCTTTGCTAATGGTAAATTTTAAGCAATTAATTTTATTTTGGTTATGAATCCTTTGCTAATGCTATGTTAGGTTGCTCTGTTATTGATCTTTTTTTTATTCTTTTATTTATAGGAGCGGAATTGAAAAAAGAGTATCCTCATTTATATTGGACTCCTTGTGCTGCTCATTGTCTTAATCTCATGCTCAAGGATATTGGTAAACTACCATCTGTGAAGCTAACTTTGAGTCGAGCTATGGAGTTTTAATCTCATGCTCAAGGATATTGGTAAACTACCATCTGTGAAGCTAACTTTGAGTCGAGCTATGGAGTTGACTGGATTCATCTACTCACATGCGTGGGTTTTGAAGCTGATGAGAGGTCAAACTAACGGCAAAGAGCTTCTTAGACCGACGGTGACACGATTTGCCACATCATTTATGACTTTGTCAAGCATCCATCGACAGAAAAATAACCTCAGAAAGATGTTTAATTTGGAGACATGGAGGCAAAGTAAGTGGGCAAGAGATTCAAAGGGCAAATCAGCTGAAAGGATAGTTCATATGCCATCTTTCTGGAACAACATCGTTCGTATTCTCAAGTTGACGACTCCTCTTGTTGGTGTTCTGAAACTTGTTGATGGTGACAAAAAGCCTGCTATGAGATACATTTATTAGGCAATGGATAGAGCTAAGGAGGCTATTGCTAATGTCTTTGGTGATGATTCAACAAAATATTCTGAGGTATTTGATATCATTGATAAGAGGTGGCAGGATCAGCTTCATCGTCCTTTGCATGCTGCAGGATATTACCTTTTTCTATGACCATCCAAATATCCAAGGGGATGACGAAGTTATGAGAGGTCTTTATCAAGTCATTGAGAAGATGGTGCCCACACAAGACCAAGACAAGGTTGATAGGCAGTTGGATATATACAGGCATGCTGGGGGTCTTTTTGGTATGGAGATAGCTAAGAGAAACAGAAAGAAGAAGTCTCCAGGTAAATATGCATAATATAAAGTTATAAACCCTAAATTGACTAGATTTCTTATAAGAAATACACTACTAATCACAGTCTATTTAAATTGACAGCTGATTGGTGGGAGTCTTATGGTGCATCAGCACCAGAGTTGCAGAAGCTTGTTGTTAGAGTCCTCAGCCTTACTTGTAGCTCCTCTGGCTGTGAAAGAAATTGGAGTACTTTTGAGCAAGTATGATTAGTTTTATTTTATTGAACAAAATAGATTTAATTCCCTTAGAGATATGGATATTGATTTGATTGATTTGTATAAATTACAGATACATACCAAGAAGAGGAATAAGTTAGATCATAAGAGGCTGCAAGATCTAGTTTACTGCAAGTACAACCAAGCTTTGAAGGAGAGATATGACTGCAGAGATTCTATTGATCCGATTAAGTTGGCTGATATAGATGAAAGCAATGAATGGTTGTTAGGGCAGTTCGGTGCAGGTGAAAATGCAGAGAATGACTTGGTGAAGGGCGAGGATAACCTTACATATGGTGTCATAGGAGATGCAATGGGAGCTGAAGAAGATGATTCTATGTATCTAAGATCGACTAATAGGTTTCGAGGATCTTCAAGTGATATTGGTTCTTCGTCGAGGAGGAGGGAGCCAGTTTCTGAGTCAGAAGATGAAGAGGAGTTTAATGACGAGGAGGAGACTGAAGATGAGGATGAGGATATACCCTTAGAAGGGGATGATGATGATGTTAATGAGGATGATTAGAATCATTAGGCTATTATTTTGCTATTTATTTGCTTTGTTTAATTAGATTGCTTGTTTTGCTTTGATGTTAGTGAACTTTGGAAGTGTTTTAATTGCTTAGTTTTTTTGTTTTGATGGACATCTTGATTTGCTTCAATGATTAAATCTTTATCTTGTGATCCGGTAGTATATATTTTATCTTGAGTCATTGACATTTTTTATGTGAAATTTCACAAATATTTATTTTTTCATGCATCTTGTATATCTTCAAAAATTTTGTGATCTGGAGTGCGCCTCACTTCACTCGGGCGCGCGCATCGCATTGCGCCTTGCGCATGTACGCGTAAACTGACTTTGCGCCCCGCATTGCGCCTCGCGCATTGAAAACACTGGGGATAAGGTTATTTTAGGGATTTTAGCTTAGTTAGCATGTAATAATTGCTAAAAAGGGGCTGCAGCACAAAATGTCACACTTCAAGGGGCTGAACCACATGGGGGAAACTAGGAGGGGTTGCAGCACATGAAGTTTTTGTTTTTGGGGCCTGGACACATTTTTCCCTTTATTTTAATTCCATTGCATTTGATTGCATATTCACTTCTTCATGCCTATGACATTTTCCACTAATTATCTTTACATTATTATAGATTACTTTTATATACTAATTACTTAACAGTATTATCATGAGGTATAGTCATAAATAACTTGTCTTAATAATAGGTGCCGATATGATTAACATTCTGAAGCAAGTGATAGTCTGATATCTAGTGAACTTCAATTTTCTTTGATTTGTATCCAAAGATGTTTTCATGTTGGCCATATTTCTGCTGCGTTTTATGTTGAATAATGACTTATTTTCTTTTGTAGAGAAATCTGAGAGAGATCGTTGAGTTAGGTCTTGCAGCAAATCAAGAGAAAAGTGATAGATTTAAACAAATAAAACAAGAAGTTAATGAAATGATAAGGACACGTGTGTCATTTATGAAGTCCAAGGTATGTTTATGTTTTCACTTATACTTTTTTTTGGATTTCTAAGTAGACTGTACAGTAGAAGGAATAGTTTCTTTACCCGTGCAATGTGTGTACTGCTTTTCTGGATATTTTCTGCGAATTACATGAACCATTGAATGCATAATGCTAAAATTTTAATTTCATGAGTTAGCCTATGTACTTTGTTGGAAGCTACAAGTGCATTATGTGCTTTTATTATGACACAAGTCCCAAACAAATATCTCATAATCTAATTTTAGTCCCTCATTAACCCCCCCCCCCCCCCCCCCCAAATAAATAAATAAATAAATAAATAAATAAAACAAAAATACAAAAACAAAAAAAACTCAAAAAAAGAAAAGAAAATAATAATAATAATAATAATAATAATAAAATAGAAGGAGGCTCGCCTGCTGACCCCTAGAAGGTTATTAAGCCCTAGGCTTTGCTTCATTTTTACAAAAAACATTGCCTCTTTGAACCTCTCTTCCATAGCTATGTTCATACTTCTATTTAGGAATCCAACCCGATACAAGGGCTAATTCCATCTCCTGACATCCATTCTTCCAATTCTCTTTTCCTCTTCAACCTCCATTTTCCTTGCCTAATCTCATTCTGTGTCTCCTACATATTCTCCTCCTTTCTTCTGTATTGCGCTAAAATTCACTATTTTGTGTTGTCCTCACCTTACAATGGTATACCAAGGCAGAAGATATACTCCAAAGAAGATGATGCTACAAAATGTAAAAATAATCTATTATTGTCTGAGTGCAGAAAAGCTTCATTGTTAAAAGTTAGGGCTTCTTGCTATATACCCTCAAATCTTTCATATTTGCAAAATTACCCCCCAATTCTCACACTTTGAGTTTTTCTACGCATCCACTTAACAATTTTAGTTCTAAAATAGCAAACTATTGCAAACATATTGGAAATTATTGGAAAATTTTGAAAGTGCCGTATTTAGAAACAAAAATTGTTAGGTTGGAGGGATAGAAAACTTAATGAAATACATTTTTCTTCGCTCGGGTTTTTTTTGGGGGGTGGGGTGGGGCATTTTACAACTACTAAGATTTGGGGGGTAAGTTTGCAAAGATGGAGGATTTGAGGGGTATATATGCAAAAACCCTTAAAAGTTAATATTTCAATGCATATACCCTTTAGGTCAAATTTTTATACTGGTACATTGTTTGAAATAACCCTCTGATCGGTAGGATAAGGACTGGGTTTTCTTAAAGGTAAGATTGAGGTGTCAGTTTTGCTTAAGGACAAGGCTTATCTTGGTGGTAGAACTCATTCAGCAAGAGTAGCGGAATAGAGAGAAAGAGTAGTTCGCAGGGTTATTTTGACACTATAATTTAATCGTAGTTAACCCTCAACCATGGTTATATTAAAGTTTAGATGAAATGCATTGGAGGGGCTCTTAGTAAGTGGGTTGTTTTTGGTAAAACTTACAAAATCTAATTTGCAAGGAGGCTAATATCAAATTATGGAATTTGTTGGGATTTATATCCTAAAAACCAATGTTTTGGAAAAAGCTTTTTTGAAACTCGCTTCGAAACTCGCTTCACTACTTTTTGAAGGCTAAACGCTTTGAAACTCAAGAGTGAAGCTATTTAGCCATTGAAGCTTACGCCTCATCGCTTAAAGCATAACTGAAGTGTGTGTTGCGCGCTTCATAAAACACTTTTCTTTTGAAGAACACCCTTTAGACAAGATAGGAGGGTATAAAAGGATTTTTGACTAACTTCAAAATACCCCTATGTATTTTCAATATGACCGTGTGAATGTAAATAAAATATATATGTTATGTATGTAGCATAGTTTACTATGACTCGTTTCTAGATTTCACATATTTTTATTCTAATTTACTAATCAAGACATAATGCATATATTTGTAAATTATTGTACCACTATGTATTATATGTTAATAAATTTTACAAAATTAACATTAAAGTACTTAAACTCATGAAGCTTACTCCTCACACTTTGAAGCTTACGCCTCACTTCATCAAACGGTCCAGCGCTTCGCCTTGCGCTTCCGCTTTTTTAAACATTGCTAAAAACCATTCGATTAATTTTGCATTTATGTCTAAATGTTTTTCTTCAACAGATGTCTGAGCAACATGATGGTTCTGCGGATGATTTTCAAGAAGTAAATGGTGGTGAAAGGAAATCTCTAAGAAGACACAATATGGATATTGCATTGGAAGACAAGATATGTGATTTGTATAATTTATTTGTTGAGGTAAGAAATTAGACAGTTCTGATTTCTTAGTTCTTAAGAGAGAGAGAGAGAGAGAGAACCCAAAAGAAGACTATTGATGTGAAAGAGTTTAACAAGTAATACACTTAGTTATCTTAGATTGTTCTCACGTTGATGTTTCTTTATCTCGTTAAATTTATTTACTTTATGTCTATGAGCGCATTTTGTTTTTTATCATTTTGATTATCGAGCAATTGAATAGTCAACCGATGTAATCTTTCTCATCTAATAGATCTGTTTGCATTCTCCAGGGACTAGATGCAGATAAGAGTTCTGAAAGAAGGAAACTTTATGGGGAGGTAATCCAAATACCATGTATAGTGATAGTCATGCTGTATAGTTTTTGCATATATACCCTTCAAATCTTCTATATTTGTTACCCTCCAAATCATGATATTTGGAAAATTACCCTCCAATTCTCTCATATTGGGTTTTTCTACCTCTCCAACTAAACAATATCGGTTTCTAAATAGGGAATGTCAAAAGTTTCCAATAAATTCCAATATGTTCGCAATATTTTCTGTTTAAAAACTAACACCGTCGTGGGAGGGTAGAAAAACTAATTGTGAGAATTGTGAGAGAATTGGGTGGCAATTTTGCAAATACCAAGATAGGAGGGATATATTTGCAAATATGAAAGATTTGAGGGGTTTATATTCAAAAACCTCTATTATGTTTTTTAAGGTACATAATTTTGTAACCAACTTTTAAGTCCAGAAAATTGTACTGCAAAATGCTTCTTATTACTTGTTGAAGCTTCGTAGCTTTTTGCCCAAATTGTATGGATATGGGTATGGCTTTGGTATGGGACACGGGAAACTAGTAAAAGCTAGGGTACAGGGACATGACTAAAATGCATGCTAGCATGCAAATGAGAAATGACCCTTTGGAATTGTATTTCTGAACTAAATATAGGCTGAAAAGAGCCCGACCCTTGTCCAACAATTGTCAAAAAGTGGATGTGAAGTGTTGGATGTATGTCCAAGAAGTGTGTGTGAGTGTTTTAATTAAAACATATATTCTATAATTGAGAACATGTCTTAATGAATGTGTACATATACTCACGGAGTGTCCAAGAAGTGATGATATCGATTAAGGGTACGAGCATGTCAGGCACGGGTACCACTTCATGATAGAAGTCCCCACACAACATAGCTTTTTGCTAACTGGGTCTAATCTGTGAACTTCTGTCTGTTTTAATCATTCTCTTCTGTTTTTTCCATTTCCAGTTCTATCCTTATTTTGTTTGCATGTCCTTTTACCTTGACTGCTGGATGATTTGCAGAGGAAGTTATTTGAAAATTGTTATTTGTCAAATATTTTGCTTTATGATAATGGGTTTCCTCGTAAGTTTTTAATCTGAATGAGAAGTAGCTCTTGTTGGTGAAGCCTTGTTACTGTTATTTGATAATTTCCGGTTTCAGTTCTTATTAAATCTTTTTTGCTTTGCGTTTAGCTTGCAGAATTGTGGCCAAATGGTTATATGGACAGTAATGGAATCAAGGATGCTATATACAGATCAAAGGACCGAAAGAGAACACGAATTTACAGAGATAAGGTCCTTTACACAAATATATTTCTCAGTTATGAATGCTTTCTTTTGTATAAACATGTCACTATATCATTCACTGGGTCAAGTTTCCTTATTAATGGATGATGATGTTCAGTGACCTGTTAAGTAGTTGAAGTAGAATATACTTATGTCTGGACAGTTATCTATATCACTTAAGATCAATTTATACGAACTATTTTGCAAAAATAGTCAATTGGAATCCATAAATGTGAATTAATATTACTTTATGGTAAGTCTAAACATATCCAAAGCTTTTCATGTTCTAATTTTCTTTATTTGGAGAAGTGAGCTGCTTAATTTTCTTTATTTGGAGGAAGTGAGCTGCTTTGCTACCGTGTAGAATAATCAATCATGGTCAACTTCTTCCCTCCTAAATTTTGATATTTATTCTAGGCGTAAACATATAGATTTACATGCATTATGGAGATTCAAGGTATAACTTTTGAGTTTCAAATCCCGATTGCCATCATGATATAAAATCAAATGAAGAAGAGGGAAACTAGTGAGATTCTTATTTCTCTCTTCAGTTGCATTATTCAGTACATTTACATTTGGTACTTTCCAATTAAAATTTTCTCTGAAAGGTTCAAGAAGGAAGTTTGGAAAAATTAATTTCAGAAGGCCATGGTAATTGGATCTTTTCCTCTTTAGTCACACTCGGCCACAGAAATCACTAATATCTCATGCATAAGCTAATCACAGTGTGATCAAGATGTACACAATAAATCAACCTTGTGATTACCATGGCTCCAGTGTGTTCTGTTGCTCACTTGTGATGTAGTTATCTTCTCCATGTTGTGAGATTTTCTCGTGGGTCTCTTAGCCACGTATGTCAATTTGGTACTAGAAAATTCTCATTGTTGGAATGTCAGTTCAACGTGCTAGTCGATTTGTTTTTGGAGCTGGGATCTGATTTCAGTGTGTTAGTCAAGGTAGTACCATCTTGGATTCCACTATGTAAGGAGCTATGCCGCATGGACATGGGTACATGTACTGGTACGGCTGCGGTTACTAGTACATAACATGAAAAATTCAATGAAAGGGAGGGTATAGGGACGCAACTATACACATATATTGAAACTAATTTACATAAGATCAATATTATTATTCTTTTCATTCACATGTTAAGAGATCCAGAATTGTAGAGCATTTTAATGTTTCTTTTATTTTGTAGATTATAAATTGGAATGCCAATAAAATTTTAGTTGCGGGATAAATGTCCATGAAGTGTGTGACTAATGTTTTAACTAAAACATATATTATATAATTGAGTAGCCGGACACTTCTTCTTGGGCGGCGTATCCATGTCAGACATGTGTCAGACACAGATTCACCGCATACATGCTAGGGACACGTCACATGTGTAGTTCAAAGCAAAACCCGATTTCCCCATTACTTATAACCCTAAACTTGTTTCTTTGGTATATATCGAGCTCAAAACCAATAGGTTTTTTTAACCCGAAAACCGAAACCATTACTTAAGATTTGAAAAATACCCATTGTATGTCATGCTTCCAAAACTAAACTTTTGTTGTTAAATCTTAATTTTTTGTTTGATTTAACTTGATTGTTAATTATTATAGATAGTAAAAGAAACATGCAAATGTTATGTATTTTAATTTAATTCAATATTTGATCTAATGTAAATATTTTATATATACATGTGTGTGTCTATATGTCCCCGTATCCTGCCTTTTACAAATTTGCCGTGCCCCATTTGCATATCAGTGCCCCGTGTACGCATCTGCACCTGTATTCATGCAACCAAGGAGTACACGTTTGAATAAATGTAACGTGAGTATTCATGGAGTGTCAGTGTCTGACACAGGTACGATACAGATAGAAGTACCTACAAAGTGTCCAATGAGTGTTAGTGTGCCGTACGTGTCAGGTAGTACGTATTCATGATTGAAGTATGCAGATAAAGGCAAGGTTTTAAATGTCGGCCGACATGTCCGGCATGTCGGCCGACATATCGGTTTGAGGGCTTGACCGATACGATTTAAATGTCGGCCGACATGTCCGGCATGTCGGCCGACATATCGGTTTGAGGGCTTGACCGATACGACATGGACGTTTTCAACTCGTATGTCGGTTTTCAAGGCCAAATCGGAAATATCAGGGTCATATCGGGCATATCGGGCTATTTTTTAGCTTTGAAAAATCGGTCGATATGATACTTTTCTTTAAGATCTATTTTTGTTATCGGGTATGGGTTTAGTGATAAATACCCAAACCCGTTTGACCCGTTCTCATGTTTAAGGGTTTCTTATGAACCCGATAGAAAGAATTTATGAACCCAAATCCATATATTATTTACTTATAAATATGTTTAGTCTATAGAATATATAAAGTATGCTTATATTGAATTTATGAATGCTTAGATTACATTTAGGACATGATATTATACATATGCGCACTACCCGATATGACAATCCGATATTTAGTCAATGTCCCCCGATATATCCCCAATTTTCGCTATCCGACATGGATTTCAGCCATCCGACATGAACCTGACATCCGACATTTATAACCTTGGATAAAGGAGATAGAGGGGGGCAAAATTTATTCCATCCTCAACTCAAATTGGTTCCTCTTTTGTTCACCTTAATCCTTTCCACGTCGCTTGTTCATCCCTCGGATTGCTTCCTACTTCAGGCTTGATCTTAACATTGTCATTCATCCGTGGAGCTCTGATCTCTGGGACATCAATATTGTCTCTATCTATTATCTAGATCCTTTAGGTTCATGTGTCGATATTTGCACCCAAAATTTCTCCTCTCTTCATGTTCGCATCATCCTTTAGGTTCATGTGTCGATATTTGCACCCAAAATTTCTCCTCGCTTCATGTTCGCATCTAATCTCAGTCCTAACCTGCAGTCGGCAGTCACCGTCTCTGACCTGATTGTTTCTATCACTGTGCATTGGTTTCATCTTGTTGACACACTCAAAACCCCTCAAAATCTCTCAAATGTGGATAAGAGTTGAGACTTGAGACTCAAGTTTGAATGATGAGCTTTTAAACATGCATATTGTATGAAATTCTGCCCATGTATGATATTCATTGGTATGAAAAATAGCATTATTTTTCAAACATGGATTCCACATGAAAATAACCTTGAATAATTAGTTTTAATTTTTAAAATTCGGAGTTTGTACGGCAGAAAATCATTTTATTATGGTTCATGATGGAGTAACCGGAAAGATAATTTATTCACAAGTTTTGTCACCATTGAGTGACAACTTGTAATATTCACCTTCAAGGCCAAATTTTAAAAAAAAAAGAAAAAGAAAAGGACTTCTAATTGTAGAAGTTATATAGTTTTACTTATAGCCATTCTCATATTTCATAGTCATTGTTGATTGTTAATTTTTCAATTTCTTTTTTCTAATGTCAAGAATTTTGTATAATTTGGTGGTTTATTTGGAAATTACCTTGTAAATGGAAATTGTTATTGCAATTAACATGTCAAATGCTCCCTTTTGAGTTATTTTAATAATATTTTTATTGTTAATTTATTTATTAATAAAAAATTTTGTGAATAATAAAAGCAACTTATAATAAAATACTTAATTCATATTTTTTTAGTTATCTGTCATTATTTCTTAATTTAAATTAACTATTGTTTAATAACGACTAATTCAAGACCTTGAAACACTCTTTGATTAGGCATGTCAAATCTGTTGAAACCCTAATACCATTAACCTAACCCATGTCTGCCTGTCTTGGTTCCTACATGAGGACTGCTCCAAGGATAATTCAAGTATGGAAGAGATGAGCAAAATTTGACTAGGCATCCCAGCAGTCAATCATACCAAACTCGATATCTTTTTCATTATATTTTACATTCCCATGCTGCTATGCACATAGTTTTCATTGTTTATATTATACAATTGTAGGATTAGATTTACTGCATGGTGCTGAGTAGATTCTTACGTAAAAACTTTGGTATCTGTCCGATCTATGTGCATAGTTTTCATTGTTAATATGTTTACAATTATAGGATTAGATTTACTGCATGGTTCTGAGTAGATTCCTAGGTACCTTTTGGTATCTTTTTCATTATATTTTACATTTAACTTTACTAGAGGTCCCTCATGTATTGTCCAAATATAATCTAGATCCTTCATTTTTGGAAATGTTTGGAAGTCTATCAAGCAATGTCAGCAAGCAAGATTTAACGGAAGTTTGTATATTTAACGGAAGTTTCTAAGGACCTATGTGGATGACAAAGATAACCTTAGGGACATGTTTGCAAAAAAGTTACTGAAATTACTAGTGTCTGCCATGTTTATGACATGTCAGCAAAAGTTAACAGAATTTTATAAAATAACCTAGGCTGATGATTAGGAACCCGCACAGGTACTTCTAAACATAAAGGAACCAAATGATATTCGGGCAATACATAAAGGGCTCTCCCAGAACTTTTGCCTTGTACATTTCTATGAAGGACCCCAGTGATATTTGGGCAATATATAAGGAACCTCCCAGAACTTTTGCCTTTTACGTTCCTATGTTGCTATGCACATAGTTTTCATTGTTAATATGTATACAATCATAGGATTAGATCAGCTGCCTGTTGTTGACTAGAGTCCTTGATATATACATGCTGTTTGTAGTGCCAACAGGAAACACTAGTTCTAGTCTTCTGGATTAAGATTTTGTACCGAGCAGTGAACACCACCTATCAAAAAGAAAATATTCATAAGTTTGCCTTTTACGTTCCTATGTTGCTATGCACATAGTTTTCATTGTTAACTCGGATGTTCTCTGCATTTAATCCTCATGTATATCAAAGAAACTAAATTCACACAGTTTTAGTTCCTATGATCTTTTGTTGAATAAGAAAATATTCATAAGTTTGATGACCATTTTCTCGCAATACTAAAAAAATACAAGCATAGGCAGTGTCTTTCAGACCCTATATGAAGTTAAGTTTTTTATCATATATGAAAACACAAGACAATAACTATTGTTCTCTGTAGTTATAATTTTACAAGGCTGTTTTTTAAGTTGCATTTTCATTGTCTAGCTTGTTTTTGTTATTTAAACATTCAATTTGCAGTTCACAAAAATAACCTAGAATGCTATTAGAGCTTTAGCATGTTTGTGATGGTTTCTAGTGTGCGTATATTGTGCATCCCTTTAGCTTGAAGCCTCATTCTTACTGTGCATATCTCTCAACAATCTAATTTATTTGGTCCTATGTGATTGTTATTGAAAAAGTCATACCATTGGTGAAATCTATTCCCTATGTCAGATCTAGTTTTAGTTAATAGTGTAAGTGCATTTGTCTCACACAGTTTAAGGTTTGTGGCTAGTTGAGTTGTGTTTTGCAATGAAGTGTGTTGCAGTGGTCCCTAATTGTTTCTTTCACCTAACGTAATGACATGAAGTGCTGTCGACTTCTTACAGACTACCTGTTCCTAATTTTAAGCAAACGGCAGCTATATAAACTGACTTCACTAGCATACAAACCTTTTATATCTTATCTGACCAGTCATTATCCAAGGCACCATCTTACTACTTCCATGTCCAATACTGTAGGAGGTGATTATTGAAAGTATTGTTTCATATAAGTGTACATTCAACCTTGTTCTCGTCCATGAGTTGATTTTAATACTGGTCATATAGTTCTATCAGTGAAGCATCTTACTGCCCAGAAATGCAATATCATGTATTATGCACGGAACACCATGCACTGCTTTACTTTATGTTTTCATCCATGCATAAAGAATTTGGTAAATACAAACCCCTTTAATTTAAGTTTGGCCGATTTTGAGATGATCCCATAAATTTAAAACATTTCAACTGACCCCCCTGAAGTTTGAGGTGTTTCAGAAAACCCCCCAGATGTTCAGTTTTTTCAATTAACCCCCTAACAGTTTTAGATGGACTGGTAAAAAGACCAAAATATCCTTTGCAATTAACACTATTATTAAATTTAAGGGGTTTTGTAAAATTTACCCTTAAGAATTCTCTGGTTTCATGTGTTCAATTTTCATCAGGTTCGTGAAGAAGAAAGAATCAAGAGGAAGAAGCTGGCCGCTGTGGCTAGGATGGATGGGCAAAATTTGAATACTCAATTACCATCTGAGCAAGCGAGACAAGACAAAGATTCTACTGCTGAAGTACTCTCTCCTCCAGAAAAAGTTACAACCATTGAACCATCTTCACTATTGAGTAATTCTGGAAACCATCATGTATCCAAGCATCACGACAAGACTCGCAAGAGTAGCAAAACCGTTGTTGAAAATGCAAAAAAGAAAGCGAAGAGGAAGCCAGAATCTGAACTGGGAGAGATCCATGTCCATGCAACAAAACTTCAATATCAGGAAAAGGAGAGGCCCAGTTCTCCTAAGGTCACCGAAGCTCCAAACGCAATTCACCAACCTAAACAAAACATTCAGAGCTAATTCCAGGAATGCTAACTATATACTAGAAGTTTATACTTTTGTGTACTGCAAGGAACAAAAATGTGGGATATTTAGCGACTCATTTATCGCAATTCATGATGATGGAGGCCACATATTTGTTTCTTATAGTACATGAGTAGTATATGGACTAATACTTGCTATTAGTTAGCATTGCTCAATTCCATATGGGGCATGAGATTGAAATTCATATTTTTACTGGGTCTAATTGTTAGTTTAATCTATTTAGTTAACATTGTAATTGTGAAGCTGAGTAATATATGGTTTCCATATGCCCAAGTTCCGACTTTTGTTCTTGTGAGCAATTGCTGGCATGAAGAAAATATATCTTTATTTATTTACTTATCTAGTTCGAGGCAGGGTTCATGGTTTTCCAAACATTTAGCTCAACTTATTTACCAAAAAAAAAAAGTGATTTCTTTTAGCCTCCTTGGCTGATATTTTGTTGCTTTCCAACTTTCTTCACCTTAGCTTGAGTTCATGAATTGTGATAATAACTGCCTTTTCATCGTCACAGTGGTGCATTAAATTATAAGGTAGGTGGTGCGATGCGTTGCTAGCTTTTTCTTTTTCTTCTTTCCCCCTTCCTACATTTAGGTAGTTTCCCCGTTTCTGCACTGGAGAACCAACAGTGAGAACGGAGCAAACACCGACTACCACCGACTACCAAACACAGTTAAGCATTAAGCTTTCACGTTTCTAATGTCTTCGGGGCTTTTTTTTACCAGACAGGGGCTTTCTTCTTGGATGCTTTACTTTTATGACATTACCCACCTAAAAAGCTGTTTTCCTTTCTGAATTTTTTCATTCACTGGGATCATAGTTGGGACTAGCCAAATTTGAGCTCAAAATAACTCATGATTTAGTTCCTTTAAATTTTCAGAATGATCAAGATTTATTCTCTCGCTCTCGTGCAAAATATCTGATAATGATTTGTACCATTCCTCAAATAGTACAGCTTGGATGTTATTTCGATTCTGAGTCTAGTATTGATCCCTTAAATAATTTCGTATGCTATTCAAGTAATAGAGCATTTACAAATGTTGCAGATATGCATGCATATGTTGGCCTCTTTAAAGGATCCGTGCATCATACCCGCAGTCTGTAGCTTCTTTACCAGCAACAGGTTCTTTTAACATCCATGGCCTCTCTTTCTTCTTTATGATAACATGATTTATAACAATTACACATTGAAAGGAAAAAACAAGGAAAAAAAATCAAAAACAAAATAATAATAATAATAATAATATAATAATAATAATAATAATAAACAAAACAAAACAGTAGTGTAAAAGATGATTAGTATGAAGAATATGATTGTCCAATTCACATGCAGTAAAAGATATTTGCAAATTTACACGAAATAGTTTTTACGCATTCAGTATTAAAAAACAAGCATTAGTAGATTCCTTGCATGGCATCATCATAGATTTGTTTGAATGTTACTTGTTTGTCACTTGAATTTACGTACAAGCAAGAACATCGTGAGTAACTAAATATTTCTTAGCATAGGTGGACAAGATGCTGATAAATAGTCACTTGGCTTTAGGAGATGACCTCTACGGAAATAGACTTGACGCTTTCGCAGCCGCATAAAAATAGCAAACTTACGGAAATTATACTCCTTCACTATAGGGGCAAGTGGATCCCCTAGTAAGTTCTCAGGATACAAATCCTCTCCACTTAGGAGTCGTTTGGTTGGTTAGAAAAAAGAAAATCTTCTATAATGGACTTTGTTCTTTTTTCAACTCCTAAAAGTAAGAAAAGAGAAGAGATGAGATGAGTTATCATCTTATTGGAAGATATGTGATATAATTTTAAGGAAATCCATTTCATGACTTTTTTTTTTGAAGAAATGAGTGGAAAACAAGTTTTAGTGATATCCTTATCCTATTTCTTTTTCTTTGATTTTAGGAAATCAACCAAACAGCCCCTTAGGTCAATACGATGGATATGCCTTTGCGATGAGCATTAGTCAATACAGCTTTTAATTACTTGTTACCTTGCTTACTGCCTCCAACTTCAAAGATTAGCTAGGAGCCCTAGGAAACTCAGACATGAAAATCTAATAAATTAAAGGGCATTTTTAAAAATGAAAACCACCTTATACCTAAACCACTAGGTTTAGTATTCAATCAACCGCCTTTCGTCAATTCTGTTTAATTAATACCTTAATTACTCAAACTATCCTTATTAATTACATTTGTAGTTGGGAAACACATGTTAGGCATCAGTAATTAACGAAGATAGTTTGGATATTTTGGGTATTAATTTAGCAGAATTTGACAAAAGTGACGATTGAAAACTAAACCCACTTATAAGACAAAACATGAAGATTGAAAACTAAACCTACTTATAAGGTGATTTATGTATTAAAAAAACTTCATACGTAGTTTCTATTAACTCAACCTATTTTAAAAGTGATTTTCATGGGAAAGAAGACCCTAAATTTAATTATGGGATGAGATTTTTGAAAGCCAGCAGTTTTGTTGGAGTATTGGGAAAAAAAATTGTTCAGCGTGCGAGAAGCCACATCTGTTGTGAGCACGCTTTAGACTTTCTGCATCCATAAAGATTTAAGGAAATCATATCATACTCCCTTTAAAAACACGGGTTGGGGAAAAGCTTTTCTTAGTCAACAGTACCCTTCACTACTTTGATATTTCATTTAAATCTTAATCTATTCTAGTCATAATTATATCCTATTCTAATCCTATGCGAACTATCTATAGCTCAAAAATTTTTAAAAAAAATAATATTAATAAAATAAATAGAATAACTTTATGGTATTAGTTTGTTACGGTAAATAAATTATATATAGCTAACATAATATAATACATGAAGTGTTGTAAAAACCCAAAAAACTTTTAAATTGCACAAAATACCATCAAAATTTCAAAATTATAAAAAATATCTTGACGTTTCAAAACTTAAAACAATAAACATGAAATCAAAAATATTACAGTAGCATGTGGTGAATTTAAATTTACAGCTAACACCCTCAATGTCTTACAAATTATAGAAACACCATCAAAAGTTTAAATTACAAACAAGCATCGTGAAATTCTAAAATTTTAAAACTTGCAAACAACTTAGATGAATTCAATGAATTATCATGATACACTTGAAAATTTTTGACGTTTCAAAACTTAAAACAATAAACATGAAATCAAGAAATTAATAATAGTCTTTGAAGAATTTAAAAATTTCAATTACCATCCTCAATCTCTCAAAAATTAGAGAAACACCCTCAAATTATAAAAAAACATCCTAAAATTCTAAAATAATAAAACTTACAAAAATCAAAGATGAATTCAAGGTATTACCATCAGACATCTAAATTTTTAAAATTTACCTAAATTAACCTTAAAGTTACAAAAATTACAAAAAACTCCTTTAAAAGTTAAAAATATCAAAAAATCCTAAAAAATTTAAATTTTATAACCAGTATACATAAAATCTGAAACTATTAGTAGACCGCTGAAATCTTAATTTTTTAAAGAAATAACCCAATGTTTTAATAATTGTAAAAAACACTCTCAAAATTTCAGAGTTGCAAGAAATATCTTGATATTTAAAAATTATCACCAGCATATGAAACATAGAAGTTACAACAACCAAACTTAAAAGTTAAATTCTTTAGAAAACTCTCCTAAAGTTTTAAAAATTGCAAATCCCACTCCTAAAGTTCAAAACCCCAAAAAGGTCTGAAATTTCAAAGCTTGGCAAAGAAAAGAGTAATTGTTTGGTATTATATATATATATATATATATATTTGATGCTGCGAAAAACAAGCAATAAGAATTGGTAAAAAAAATATATGGTTAAGAAATAAAAATTTGAAGAATATATGATAGCTTAAAAAATATCGTCACTATATAAATCTTCATATAATTTTACTAATAAGTTAGAACAGCAGAAATACATAAGTAACATTAATTGATAGCAAATTAAATAGATAAAACTAATAAAAGACTATAATATAATAGCTGATGCGGCATAAACATATACCAAAATTTACAAGAGCACAACTAATCAAGTTATAGTATAAAAAGTTATCGATCTCACGAGGAAGGTGTTTATAGAAAATTATTAGAATCGGTTCATATGTTGTGTGCGTGACAATTAGGAGTGATGATATATATGATTGTGGAGAGATGGGGAGAATGAGAATGATTATGTGTAAAAAATGATATTGAGAGTGATAGATAAAGAATAAATTAAATCACAAGGAAAAAAAGGAAAAATGAAGGAAATAAAAATCAAAAAAATAAAAAAAATTGAAAAAGAAAGAAAGAAAAGAATGATGGTTCAATTAAAGATACGAGGAATCTAGAATTGAACCCACCTCAAAAGAAAAGACAATTCCCTAGAGGGTTCTAGCCTCAAGGAGAATCAAAGAATATGAAAATAAAGGAAAATAAAAACTAATCCCAAAAGGGTTCTAACCTCAAGGTGAATAGTGCAAGAAAATAAAATCTAACTACATAATAAATTGTAAAAACTAAACTATAAAATAAATTGTAAGAATTAAATGCAAGAAAATAAATCTACTCTATAAGCATAAAATAAATCTACTCTATAAGCATAAAATAAATCTAAGGCAAGAGAGTTCTAACCTCTTGGCTATTTAAGCAAGAAAATAAAAAGATAAAAATATTAACAACTAGGAAATTTACCGCCCAAGAGGGTACTAGCCTCAAGATGAAAGCAAACCTCACACTTGATCTTCATCTTCATCCCATCTTCATCTTCATCATCAAACAAAGAGAAGAAAAGAAAAATATGAAGATGTGAAAAAAATTCTTTTATTGATTGTGTTATGGTAATTTACCATCTAAAGATGAAGATATTGAAAGATTGTCCGCATAGGCTTAAAAGAGCCATGGTCCAAACCAACTTAGAGGCCCAAAAGCCAGCCAATGGCAAGTCTATTGGCCAGCCGAGCAGACGAGTCATTTTTGACCAAGAGTCATCATTACCGACTTGAAGTGCGGGATCGGTCGGTCCCCCGTAATTAAGACGACTCCTCGAGCAGACGTCTCGACTATACACTTGACCCGAAGCTCACTCGGCTGTCGGGTTGGGAAATCATAAAGACAACCCACGAACTGACCCGTCTCTACTAAGGGGATGAGATCCAGCTAAGCTTGCCTCAGATGTCAATCAGCATTACAACATTGATCAGTCCCATCAAGATCTCTGCTCTAACAAATCCCGTGCATAAGCCGCTTATTCTACTCACAAGTCATTTTAGAGGGATCTCCATGATGCTCCCTAGGGCTCGAATGACTTTCTCTCCAATCACCAGCCGCCATCTAGAGGGGGAAGGACGACCAAGCAGTTGGCCTA